GTGAATGAGTCGAGTTGATTTGGGATGTACATGTACATAGCGATAGTAATACTGTAATGTAACAAGAAATATTGGGTGTATGTGCAAGTGAAGTTTTTTCTTTGATAGAAAATGTATTATTAATATTGTGTTATTTTATTATGTTTGATAACAGGTTTGGTTTGATACCGAACTTAATATTGAATTTCATAAAGTAATAATCTTATTTATTTCCATTTATATATCATTTCAATTTTACCTATAGTATTTTTATAGAATACATGTATAACCTTTTGTATTTTGCTATAAGCTTTTTATGGAATTAAGCTAAATTTATCTATCAGACTTTATATACAGTGAAAGTCAATTACGGATTCGGCCTATTTTTCGGAACTAGCTACATATAAATGGCATTACATAAACTTTGTCTGTACCAGACAATAGGAACGGAAGGGTCCGGTATATCAACTTTCACTGTGTACTTTGTATTTAAAATTTTCAAACTGAATCCGATTTAATTTAAGATTGATAATTTATAAAATTTAGATAACTAAGATAAATTCTTTTATATTGCTGATCCTTTATTTAATACGTATTATTATCGTTATATATACATTGGCAAATTAATGCGCCTCGTTCAAAATGTACTGTTAAACATAGTAATTTTACTTTCATCAAAACATTTTAAGTTTTACTGATAAATTTTTTTATTTTTATATCAAACTAAAAATTAGAATCTACACAGTGACTCTTGTTAAACCGGAGCTGGTTAGGCCACATTTGTTGTTCTATTGTGAAGAATTTTTATTATGTTTTATTAATAATTTTTTTGTTATTGTATTCTTTTAATTGTAATTATATAAAAATTTTTAATTTTATTAATATATATATTTTATTTTTATATTAAAATAAAGGTTATTATTCGACAAAATTGTGCTAATTGCAAAATTATTATAAAAAATTTTTTATAATTAAAATATATAAAAAATTTTTATAATAATTTTGCAATTAGAATAACTTTATCAAATAAAATTTAAAAATCCAAAAAAATAAATATATTAAAATATAACTTATAATCGTTAGTTTAATATAAATAAAAATATTTATTAATAAAATATATATATAATATTATAATTATTTATTTTATATTTATTAATAAATTAAATTTATATATATTATTGATAATATAATATATTACAAAGTGATATTAATTATTTATTAATTTAATATATTAAATATACTTTAATAGTCTTTCAAATATAGTAATAATTAAAAATAATGCAATGCAAAAAATATAGATTTTTTTCTTTATTCAAAAGTTTTTAATTTTATATTAAATCTGACAAAGTTATTTTAATTATAAAGATAATAATTTTTTATGTTTTTTTATATAAATTTATATGTAACTAAAAATTTGTAAAATTAAAAACTTTATATAAAATAAATTATATTTTTTATATTTTTATTATATTTTATTAATATTTTTTTATATTGTATTATTAGTATATATAATTATATATTTATATATTTATATATTTAAAATTTTGTATTATTAACAATTTTATAAATTTTTTTTAAAAAATATAATTTTTAATAATTTATTTTTGTTTTGATATTGATTAAAAATTTATAATAAAAATATTTTTTGTTATATTATATATATTATATTCAAAATAATATATTTTAAAAATTTTCTCTTAATTTTATTATTAATTAATATCAAATAAAACCAATTTTAAATAATATTAAAATATCTAATAAATTTTGTATATAAAAAATATTTGGTTTTATAATTTTTAAATTTTTATATAGATTTTATATTATATTATATATAATATAAAAATCTAAATTCAAATTCTTAATAAAGAAAATAAATTAGAAAATTTAATAAAATATATTAATTAATAAATAAAAAAATAAAAATATATTAATTTTATTAAAAAGAATTAATTATAAAATATTTGAAAATATTTTATATTTATTAATAAAAAGAAAATTATTCAAATTTAAAAATAAAAATTATTAGTTTTTTCAGAAATAAATTAGATAATATATATAATAAAATATTAACAAATTAAATTATAAAATTATTAATTTTCTTTAGAAATAGACTATAAAATATAATAAAATATATCAATTAATAATAAAATTACTAATTTTTTCAGAAATATATCATAATAAAATATTCTAAAATAAATATTTAATAAAATATATATACTAATTTCTTTTAAAAAATATTAAAAATTAATTAGAATTATAATAATACTAATTTCAAAAATAATTTAAAATATTTAACAATTCACCAAATTTTTATAAAAAGAGCAAGAATATTTGTAATTAAATTAGAAATTTATTGAATTAATTTTCCTAAAAATATTTAATATATTTGGAAAAAATAGTTTTTTAAATTTTTTCTGAAAAATTCAAATAATTTTCTGATCTTTTATTTCAAAGAGTTTTTTTATAAGAATTATATTACTATATTTTTGAATTAATTAAATAATAATTTGCAAGCAATTAATATTATTCATTATAGAATTCAAAAAATATTTTATTTTATTTTAAATATATTTAATTAGAATACAATTACAAATTTTAAAATAATGAAAACACTTAAATTTGCTTCAAATTTTTAAGTAATTTATAAAATTAAATTATTATAAATATTAATTAAAAATATAAGATAGCTATGGATAAAATAATACAGTATTATAGCGAATAAAATCAGTTAAGTTAAAAAGGTTTCATACATTAATAAATAAATATTTCTCATCGAGAGTAAATATTGAAAAAAACAATATAGAATAATAAGCGAATTAATTTAAATCTAATTGTAATTGCATTTAGAAATCGCATGCACTCTGTTTTTTTTTTTACCAAACTTAGAATTTTTTTGGCAATATTTTAACATTCCGAAAACTTTAATGGTATGCTTTAAAGTTGCTTGCTATAATTCATGTTTGATATTATGACTTATGTCATAATTCTTTATTATTATGTTATAATTGTGCCAAACCATAACCAGCAACTTTAGTATGCATCTTAGAGATACGTGTAGAGTATTTCAATTACAAAATGGTGGCACAGTAAGACAGGTTATTACTCTCCCTATAAAAAGATCTCAAAATTTATATTCTAGTTCTATGTCGGATAGGGTGGAAAAATCGTAACTTAGTCCAGAATTTATTAATAAAACCTTTGAAATTCCAACTAAAAATACCAATAATTATGTCTCTATTCACTTAAAAATTTATGTTAAAAATATATGTAGTATTCTATAACAAAAAATATATGAGTATTTAGGATCATTGACTATCGAAGAGTCTTAAATATATTTAGCGAATCAATATCCAGTAATAATGGATCGGATTCAAATAATAAATAATTTATACACAGTTTTTGTATAATATATCAGACTCATTTAGATTAAATTTAAATATACAACTTTCTCTGCATAAAAATTTATTAAATTATAACAAACATATTTGATTTCTTATTGACTGCTTCAACTAATAGTATAATTTTCATTGGTTACTGTTTGTACACTTACCAAAGAATATGCAGTTAAAATTTCTTTCTAGGATTTTACAAATTCACATGCAACTAGATGGAGTTTTCAACAAACGCTTATACTTATAAGCAGAATTTTCTGGCCGTTAAGAAACCGCTCAACTCAAAGACAATCAAATTAGGCATAATATTAAAAATAAGAACAACTTTAAAACAAATTTATTCATGTGATGAGAATTTCTTTCTAGAAGCTTATTGCTGAAATTTCTAATTTCTGGTCATTTGCCCGTATTCCGAATTTATTTAACGGTTTTGTCGAACAAAAATCGCGCAGCATAAAGAGAAAAGCAGAGTGAAGATTGTGGATCAACTCTATTGTTAAAAAAAAATGATGTACAAAACAGCACGTAGTAGTAGCGGTACGTAGTTTCCTTTATTTTTAATATATGAATATAGGCATCTAGTTTGTGCAATGAACATGTATTAACATACCTACTTTTATTTTAACGTTAAGTATCGTTTTTTCCGTAATTTCCGCCACTCAAAAATGTCTATTTTTAGATTCTGAATTGAATTTACTATAAAAATGACTCGTAAAACAGCGACCAAAAATCAGTCTTCACGATGTGCAAAAATATTAGCGAAGAAGAAATTTGTGATTTAGCGAAACAACTTTATGAACATGCTCAATTACTTCCTTGTAAACGTTCTGCTAATATTCTTCGTGAAGAACTCTTAAAAAAAGGCGAAAAAATAAAAAGATTACCAAACCGCTATATGGTATTTCAAAAATTTATGAGAAACCAATTAAGGGCCAAAAAATTACACGAAAAACTAATTATTAAGGATAAAATAATTAGCATTAAGGATCAAACAACTGTCGTAAAAATCATATCAAAAATGTGGTGGTCACTTTCCCAGGAAAACAAAAACGTTTATCTTAAACTTCAAGAAGAAATAAAATCCACACACAAAAAGAGATATCCTGACTGGAAATCTAATCAAAGCAGATATAGGTCAGATTTCAAAGTTGGGATCACAGATTGATATCGAGATGAATTTTATAACACAACATATCTACTTTAATGTTATGAATTTTAATTATAAAGATTACTTAATTAATTGTAATATCTTTATATGTATATGTCTTTTTTTTTTGAAAAGAATTTAAACATGATCTTGTTTATAGTTACATGTATACTAAGGATGTGCCACCATTTTTATGTATTTCTCCTTTATATATGCATATATTTGAATAAATTTAAAAAAATATATTAACTATTTTTTTCGGAATTCTTGATTTCTTCCAATTATAATTATGAGCGAGGTATATATGCACTTTGAAAGTGTTCTATTATCTATAGAAATTATTAGCAGAAGACTGATTTTATATTACATGTACATATCGGATAATTATAATCTCATTCACTATTTACTTATATTATAATATAAATATTTAATTCATTATTTAAACACATATACATAATCCTGTACTTTACAATCAAAGTTAGATCACAAGTTTGATTACATTCAG